TCTTTATAAATGTTAATACCAATCAAAAATAAAGTTTGATTTTTTTATTTTGAATTACATATATATACTTTATTTCTATTTTTTGTAACACATATTTTGAAATTGATATTTAATAATAATAATAATAACAACAACAACAACAATAATTAAAATTAATGCATAAATATATATTAAAACAATATCTAAAGCTATCCTTGCAATCCCTCTATTAAATGTGAGTAACATACATTTTTATTTAATTGTTTGATTTCTATTAAACCAATATATTTCTTACATGTATATTAAATGAAGAAAGAGAAAAAGATGCGGCTTAAAAAATGAAAAACATTAATTTATACAATAGTAAGCATACTTCAAAAAAAAAAGTGAATATTTAAAAATACTAAGCATTAAACCAATATATTTCTTACATGTATATTAAATGAAGAAAGAGAAAAAGATGCGGCTTAAAAAATGAAAAACATTAATTTATACAGTAGTAAGCATACTTCAAAAAAAAAAGTGAATATTTAAAAATACTAAGCATTGAATGCCAAAAAAAAAAAAAGGAATACTAAACATTAATTCATAGATATTAAGAATACTTAGAATTAGAAGGGACTAGCTTGATGTAAGTTATAATTTATTTGTTTGCTCTACTTCATTTTAAATGAGAAAAAAAAAATTGTAAATTGTAGCCTAACTAATAAATGAAATTAAATTTGACAGTAGAAATAAATGACAAATTATGGAAAGGAATGGTATAATTTATCTTTAAGGCTAAGTAGTTTTTTATAAAATAAATCTGAATTAATTAATATTTTATTTGTCAACATTATTTATTTAGTTGATGTTCTCTAACTAATTATTCACAAAAAGGTAAATTTTTAAGAATTTTAGGAAATATAAAAATAATGTAAAAATAATCAAGAGAAAAAAAAAAGTATTACCTTTGCAAATATGGCTGACTTAATAATTCACAAAAAGGTAAATTTTTAAGAATTTTAGGAAATATAAAAATAATGTAAAAATAATCAAGAGAGAAAAAAAAAAAACCAAGTATTTACCTTTTGCAAACTGGGCTGATTTGATATCATATTCAATAGAATATTATAAATAATTATTTGACCCAAAGTAGAGAAGTTTTTTAGCAAAATAATTAGTATTAAGACAAAAATGAGTCAACACCATAAGAAAAGAAAATGAGTATTTCATTTCTAATTAAGAGAAAAGTGAAAAATTATGACATTTTGACATTTAAAATGTTAAAGGTTTCCTAATCATAATGCCACGGGATTGAACAAAATAAAAAATGTGCCAAAATAAAATAGCAGAAAATGAAAAGATAATATTTCAACTAACAATTAGTATATTTCATAAAATTAAGAATATTAAAAGGCTTTTTTTTTTTTTTTTTATCATTTCATACTAAGCAATAAGGTTCAAGTGAATCAAAGATGAAAAAATGATTATAACCTAAAGATGAAACACAATGAATTATCAGTGAACTTTCAACAAAAATGTTATCATTTTTCTCTGCATAAGATGATGAAAACAAAACATCATAAACAAGCATGTTACATCCTATTAATACAACTTTTAAAAATAAAAACAAGCTACTTTTTAAAACAATTACACCATAGAACTCAAAAAAAATATGAACTACCATTAATACCTCCCTTTAAAACAATTGCATTGTAGAATGCGAATATAGAGGCTCAAGCTGAGTTTTCATATCTATTATCTCAAATTCAAATCCAAGGCGAGAAATCAAGAGGTTGGGAATGAAATGGTTATCCCTAATTGTATTTTTCATCACCGGATGTATAAAAAAAATAAACAACTGCATTATAAAAAAAAAATAGTGCCTATCAGTCTTATCTCTTAAAGATTAGAAGTAAAATCATCCCAAAATTACATCGTTTCAATAAATTTTTATTAAAAAAGATTAAATTACCATATTTTTAAAGCCTGCATTAAGGTAATTTTTGTCTCTTTTTTTTCTTAATTTTTTGGAAATAAGGCGGATAAACACTAACCCCTCATAAAAATTAATGCAAAAATAATTACACAATATAAACAAAAAGTTTTGTGGGTTTAGAGTTTTACTTAATACAAATACCCAAATACAAAGTTTAAAATCCCATTGCATCTACAAGTCTAAAATAATTATAAAAAAAAATATAATTTTATTTAAAATTTAAAATTATAAAAAATAAATATTAAAACAATTAATCCTATCAAAAAAATTAGCTTGATATTTAATGAATAAAAATAACTATAATATCTTAAAATAATTTTATCATAAAAATTACTATAAAAATAATTATATAGTATTAATAAAAATTAAAAAAAAAAAAAATCCCATGCAACCCACGGGCTTCTTTTTTTTTTAACATAATGCACGGGATTCAAAATCTAGTTACTTAGTAATTGTAAATTATAATTATTTATAACATTCCTCTGATAGATTTGGTGAGTAATTGGTTACTTCAAATCACAATAAATTAGAATAGAAAATTAAGTTTTTTTCAATAGGTTATTATAGTTGATTATAAATATTAAATAGTTGATTATCACTAACAAAATAATCCATTATAACAAAAAGTTAATTCATTATCAAACTTTCTCAGGACTATTGCAGCATCATTTTTGTCATTTGAAGCCCTTTATACAAAGGATTCAAAATGGTGGTCCTGGAATTTTGGCATTTTGGCATTTTATTGGCCCTCATCCAACCACTTTTCCGAGTAGGTATATTTTTGAGGTTTTACATCCAGAAGGTGTTTCTGGGACAAAAGTGAATAAAGTTTTAAAGGGTGTTTGGTTGGAGGAAATTTTCCCTCGTAAAGTTCTCTAAACTTTCATTCTTATAAAATTATTTATTTATTTTCACATATTAATACTATAACAAAATAAGAGTAATAGTGGCATTCTCAACTTTTATTTTCCCTAACACAATTTCTAACTCGTAAAATTTTCTTCCCATCTATTTTGAATGGAAAAAGTTTCCTTATAATTATCCCTATATTGAGCCCACTTAATAACGTTACTTACTAACTTTTCCTATATTAAATTTTTACCAAACAAAACAAAATTAATAATTCAACAAAATTCTAACAAAATTTTATTACAAACATTACTAATATTTCGTATAATATTTTCTAACTTTTCATACAATATTTTTTAACCACTTTTCTAATAAAACTTTTGCTGTTAAAGTGGTGCTTTAACCAAGTAGACCCTACTAGGAAATATTTTGACAGGATATATATACCTGGGAAAGTTAACTTTTTTGTTACTCTAACAAAACACAGAGCAGGGTTTGAAGTTTAAATTGGCATGCCCTTAAATAAAATCCAAATAATCGATTATATTTTAAATAAAACAATCAATTAAATTACACATGTTTAAGTAATTGATTATTGAGGATATAGAATTGGTTATAATCTTCTATATCCAATTACTTAATAATTGTGAATTATAATTGCTTATAACATTCATTTAATGGATTGTGTGAGTAATTAATTATAAAATTAATTTTTTTTATTTGTAATGGATTATTATAGTTGATTATAAATATTGAATAGTTGATTATCAATAACAAAGTATTTCATTAATTATAACAAAATTTTAATTGCTTATCAAACTTTTACAGGATTGCTGTAGCACCATTTTTGTCATTTCAAGTCCTTTATACAAAGGATTCAAAGGGTAGCCTTGGCATTTTATTGCCCCCCATTCAACCATTTACCAGCGCAGGTCTTTTTCCAAAGTTTTTCATCCGGAAAGCGTTTTTAAGACAAAGACAGATAAAGTTTTAGGAGTAAACCAATTTTTGGATACTATTTAAATACCAAACACAAGCAATATAACTCGACTTGCAATAATCCGGGCACAATCCCAAGAATCTTTCCCAAGCGAACAGGCTCTAAAAGAAAGCCAATTCAAATTTTGGCCTTCAAATGGGAAAATTATGGAGTCAGACTTCATCTTTTCAGCTTTTGCCATTTTAGCTGATCTACTCTTGATTTCTTCGGTTTTAGTCTTGTTGACGACTACACTTAACTTAAAAGATATTTTCAAAATAATGAAAAAACAATTATTAAGTGTGAAAAATGTAAAAGAAAGAGAGTCGTCACTCATCTAAATTATAAGGTGGGGCATATCACCTTAAAATGGGTATGCGCAGAAATTGGGGTTCGAGGGTTCAATTAAGAGTGAAAAAAGGCATATGAGCACCTCACAATCCTCCGTTTAAACATGATTGCATACTTTAACATTGAGATTTTAATTCAACTTATTCATTATATTTATGCTTAAGTCTTAATAGACAAACTTAAAAAATGATAAACCAAATTGAAACATTTTTTCGAATTTTTGGACTAAAATGAACAAAATCAAAGATATGCATGCATCATGAGCACAAAGAAAAATTAAAGGAACTAATTTGATTAAGTTCGAAACATGAAGGACTGATTTGATTAAGTTCAAAACGTGAAGGACTGATTTGATTAAGTTCAAAACATGAAGTACTGATTTGAAAAAAATTGAGACCCGTAGACTAAATTGCTTAATTATAAAAGTTTTGGGTGAAATTGAAGTGAATAAAGATAATTTTGACTTTGACTAATATTGAGGGAAATTAAGGATTTAAATTAATTAATTATGATGATTAATTTAATTAAATGATTAATTTAATATTAATTAAAATTAATTAATTATATTATTAATCTTTAATTAATATAATTAAATACTATAATTATCTTAAATTTTATTTTAATTAAAGTTAATTGATTTTATTAATCATAAATTAAATTAATTATCTTAATTAATTCATTCATTTTATTTATATTATATATTTTTTACTCTTTTTTTTGTTTTAAGATCTACTTGCTCCAAAAAAACATAAACCCTCAATCAATACATAAAAAAAAAAAAATCAAACAACAAACGAAAATGAAATCTGGATTTTGACGTTCATGTCATATCAGTAAAAAATAAACACATTCATCAGAAAATAAACCGAACAACTTTTTTTTTTTTTGATTTTTCTTTCATTTTCCACCGAAACATACACAATCTTAACATCAGATCTAGGAAAACAAACTCCCACAAAAAAATAAAAACAAGCACGGCGGATTTTTGAAAGAAAAATAGATTTGGATCTGATGGAAGGAATCCCACCCATGGCATCAAGCTTCCCCCATCTCCTTCACCATTTTCCTAACAAAAATCCTCTGTTCAGAACTATACCTAGGCGACCGAGGATAAATTCCTCAATCTCCTTCCTCAAACACAGTTCCCTTCCAGCCCAAAAAAAACCCTCCTTTTCCCCGCCGTCAACACCAGACTTGACCGAAAGAACCCCTCCATTTCTACCCTAAAGCCCTCTATTTATACCCATACACAGAAACCCTAAAGAACATTCCAGAAATCACTCTCCGGGCCTTTTTGGATCTACGGTCTTGGGCTTTTCAAATCTGTTTCTCCTTTACCAGAATCTGCAATGCATTTGGGCCTCTCCGATCTTGATCTTTTTACAAAAATCTGCAAAAATTGATTTGGGCCTTCAATCTACGCCCAATTCATCCTGTCGTCACTCACTCCAGAACTGTAGCTGGCATGGATTTAGGCTCCGCTTGGTATAGCGGTTTTAGGTAACGGTTAGTGATTTTACTTAAATTGCTAAATATAGGTGTTTGGTAAATTTATATATTTCAAAACCGCTATAAATAAAATTTTTAGTAAAATTTTTATTTAGCAGTTTGAGACTAACGGATAACGGTTAGAGTCTAAATCGTTACGGATTGAAAAAATTAATTTATGTAATTTTTTGTACCAAATCATTAACAAATTAAAATTTTTTAATTTTATTTACAAATTTATCTATTTTAATTTTTTAATTTATGATCACATTTTTTAATTAATAATTATTTAATAAATTTCAATTTTATTTTTTTATCTTTAATAATATTAAGTGATTATAATATTTTTTTTATACATTAATTTATAATTAAAAAATATATTATCTTAAAAAATAAAATTTATTAATTAGACAAAATAATTCATTTTCTATTTAAAAATAATATACTTTTAAAAAAATAAAATAAAAATAAGAATGTAATTATATTATTATAATTAATTTTATTTTTTATTTTTTTATTATTATTTTTATAAAATTAATAATTTTAATAATAAAAAATAAAAATATTTTAAAAAATATATTTATTTATTTTTAAACAAATCTTTATTAATCATTTAATATTAAATAACACCCACTATGTATAATCAAAAAATTATATTTATGAAATCCATCATTTACCATCCATTACCCACCTTCCACTGTCCGGCGTCCATTATTTGTTAACGGCTACTCGCTTCCGCTATTCGTTACTTGTTATCTTCTGAATTTTAACTGCCTTACCAAACAGCCTGGTTTGCAGATTTGTTTCAGTCGGATGACGATTGAGATTTCGCCAAATCCCTGCATCCTCGGGTGAAGAACACAGCCATCGCGAACCAACCGCTGTTCACTCGCCGGCATGGTGGGTGCTGGGCCACGGGAATGGTTCAGGAAGAGGAGGAATTTCTGCGTTTTTGTCCCTTTTGCGAGGCTGTCGGCTACCCAAACTTCCAGATCTGAAAATGGACTTCATCATTTCATTTTTTTTGTTCTATGATGATCGGAGATGAAGATATCGGAGAAAGATGGAGAAGCCGAAGATGGAGGTGATGGTCGATGATGCCGGTGGTGGTGGTGATCGAAGAAAGAGGAAGAAGGTGATGGTGACGGTGATGATGGAAAACGGGGGATGAAGGGAGGCGGTGATCTGAAAATTTTTTCTGTTCTCTGCCGCCCCCCCTCAAATCCCACATTTGCTTGTGGCGATTTTTTTTTTCTTTTGAAAGAACAGAAAGATCGGGAGAGAAGGAGAGAAGGAGGATGGTCGTGATGGTGGTGATGGTGATTGGAGAAAGAGGAAGAAGGTGGCTGCCGGCTGAGAAGGAAGAAGACTGGTTCGGGAGAGAGAGAACCAAAAATTGATGAGGAAGAAGAAGAAGGTTCTGGAGAGAGAGAACGAAGATTTGTTAAAAAAAGAAAAGAAAAGGGTTTAGGCATTTCATCACCTCTTTTTTCGGTTTTCGGTTTTCGGTTTTCGGTTTTCGGTAATTATGTTTTTGGGTTTGGGGTTTTTGTGGGTTTTGAGTTTTAGGTTTTGGGTTTTTGGGTATTTATGGATTTTGGGTTTTGGGTAATCGTGGGTTTTGGGTATTTATTGATTTTGGGTTTTTTTGGGGTTTTTTTTGTGTTTTGGATTAAACTTTAATGCATTTCTCTTTTCAACTTTTTATTTCTTCAATTGAATTCTTTGTCTTAATTTCCTTTGCAAAATTTTCCTTTTGCTCATAAACCTACCAATGACAACGAAACAAAATATATTAGTTAAAATAAAACTGGAACAAAATTTTATTAAAATTTGAGTTATGACAAGTCTTCACTTATAAAAATGATAAAAATGATGTAAAATCAAATAAAATACACCACGTTAATATAAAAGGCTCCAATTCATGATTAAAAAGATATGTAAAACTGTATAAAATTTAGGCTCATTAGCATTATATTAGTAGCACCTAATCGAGGACATGGAAAACTCTGGACTTTTGTAGGATGGAAAGACACCAATGAAGTTGTCAACTTTTGTGTGGAAGGCACTCTAGGACAGGTTGCCATCAAAGTTGAATTTGCTCAAAAGAGGTGCGCTATAGGATAAACCAAGGGTACTTTCGGACGAGTTCATGACAAAATTAATTAAAAGCTGATCATCTCTTGTTTTTATGTGAAGATTCTTTGAAGATATGGACAGATCGAATTGAACTTCTATTCTGCGCACCAACCCAGTAGCAGGGCTTATGATCTACATCTGCACATGGGTTTGGTAGATAGAGGAAAGGAACAAGAGGCATGGCGAATATTATGGTTTTTTGCAATTTGGTCTCCATGACTATGTAGGAATCAAAAACTATTTCACGAAACGGAGTCTCAAGCGAAGGTACTGGAGTTGATCAAATTCAGGTAATTCTTTAATTGTATTAAAGAGCATGCTTGGCTAGATTTATCAAAGGATCTATGGTTCAAAACTTCAAATATCCTAGGGAAGCCATTATAAGTTTGAGAAGCTGTTTTCTTTCAGTGGATTTCTGTTATGTTTGTGAGTTTAATTTTTTTGTTTTGGGAATTTGTAAGCAATTAACAGGTAACACTTTTTTTTGGTGCTTTCATTGCGAAGACATTAATTTGCAAAGGGTAGAGTACCCCAATTAATACCAGTTTCTTTAGCTTAAATAGATAAAAAAATCACTTTCTCTGTACATTGAGCATAGACTTATTTGAGCTTTGATTTTTTGTGCGGTGGAATTGACAGCAAAGTCAATTAATTGCTAAGAATCCTCTTCCAAAGAAAGATTAAAAAGTCAATATAAAAAAAGAAAAAAAGAAAGTAAAACAACGAAGATTAAAAGGTCGAAAGAGCCTTTTGTCGTGTCTGGGCTTAATCACTAGCTTCTCCAAGTAGGTTTCTTTTGTTGGGAGAAAAGAAAAATAAAAAGAAAAAGCAAAAACACTATGTTCTCATTCCAACCCCAAACTTCTTTACTCCAGTAATTCAATTCAAATTGTGTCCTTCCCATTAATGGAGGCCGCTTGCAAAATTAGACAACAAAGGAAGTCTCACTTACACATCAAAGAAGATTCCTTAGTTCAAGATGTCATGGAATGCTTGTTGCCTTTAATTATATAACTACATCTCAAACCGTGCTTTGCGTGATTCGTACATATTTTTTGTTTAAATTTTTATTAATTATAATTTTTTATAA